GGGATGGACAGGAGCATAATTCCGCGCCAGTTCTTGCATTGACTTAGGTCTCCTTTCTTTGGTAGTTTGAATAAGTATCCTTTCTTCCAATCCTCGGCTACTTTGCCACCTTCTCCAGTAGTGGCGTCATCAAGTCCGCTGTTGTCTCTGGATCAATTTTCAATGCTTCTGCTGGGATTCCATCTGGTCCTGCTGCTTTTCCAGGTATTAGCATCTTGATTGCCTTCAGGACTTCTGATTTCGTCGGGGAGTTGGTGTTCACTGGTAGCTCTGTCTCCGTTGTTGGTATTGCTGGGCACGTTGTCGGTGGTGGTCGATTTAGGAGTCTTTTGAAGTGTTCAGCCCAGTGTTTCCTTTGCTCCACTTCTTTGGTGAGTGACTTTCCATTGTCATCCTTCACCGGCTTGATTTGTGTCAAACGTTTGCCCGATAGGTGCCTAGTTGTTTGGTAGGGTGTTGCGAGGTCTCCTTTACCTGCAGCTTGTTCTGCCTCACTTGCTTCATAGTACTTTCTTTTGTCTTCTCTGGCACTATTCATAACTCTTTTGTTCAGTGTCTTGTAGCTTGCATTCAATTCCTGTTTTTGTTGCTCATTGGTGCACTGGAGAATCTTTTGTTTCACCATCCCTCTCTCTTCTAGTAGTTTCCAAGTGTTCGTAGTGAGCCATTGTTTGTCCTGTCTCTTCTTTCTGCCTAGAACTTCCATGCAGGTTTGACTCCACACTGTTTTCAAGTTGTTCCAGTGCTTTTCGACGCTGACATCTTCGCTAGTGTTGATTTGTGTCTCGGCTTTGCCCTTTATGCTTGCAGTGAAGATGTCCTTTGTGTCCTGGTCCTTCAGTTTTTGAGTGTTGAACTTGGCTTGTGGTCTATCTGCAGCTCCTGATTCTCTGAAAGCTTTTAATTTGATTTGGATTGTCCCTTGTACGAGATAGTGGTCTGAGCCAATGTCTGCTCCTCTTCTTACTTTTGTGTCCAGCAGGCTACGCCTCCACTTCCTTGAGATTGAGATGATGGCAGTCCATGTTAGTAGTATAAAATATTAACTATGAAAAGATGGAAGAAAGCATTGACAGTAGGTAGTTCTTTGCATGACTGTGTTTTTCTAACAAGTATACACACTGCATAATTTAATTCGCTAGTGTGAATTATTCCCTATAAGTATTCGTTTGTATTGGCCTTAATCTGACATGTACTCTCTTTCTCTCTCGTGCTTGTCTCATTTTCTCGTGTTTGTTTACCCTAAGTGATAATAAAAGAATAGAATTTACAGTAAGACTAGTCAGTTGTTGTCTATTACTGTACTAGTACACACACACATCTACACACGTAAACTGTGAACACACAAGGATTAAAGACAAAATAAAGGCCGACTTAAACAAACCTTAAACTAATTCACTTATAAATCTCACTAACCTTAAGTTAATTACAAGTTACATACATATAGATATATAGCAGGTTATAAGTTAACTCTTATCGTATTGCTTTCTCCTACGTGATATTACTGTTTACGGACGATCGATACAAACAGTTGGTACTGTATGTATGAAAGATATAAAATTAAATCTAGCCATTTCAAGTTGGGGAGAAACTGAGGAAAACCAACAGCATCGTAACATTATCTAAGATGTATTAGCCTTGAGAACATGTCATCGTCAACCTGTGAGTACTAAAAATAGTATGATTTATTTAGATTATGGGATGATTTGTGCGGGTTTGGATTAATTTCAACGGTTAGATTTTCATCACGAACCAAAGACACATCAGTTACGGGGAGCGATCATTGAAAACCATCAGGGAGCACTGGACAGCTGTTTCGACTTTATTTTTTTGAGGTGGGGGGAAGGAATCCTCAACACTGCAGATCCACGACTCCACCACCAAGGGGTCGAACCTCCAACCTTTAAAGTAACGATACCAAAGATCGTTGACCATTCGGTCACTTGGGTTGCAGTTCTCTCTAACTGATATTGGCTAGTAACGAAAATCTAACAATATGAGTTATGTTTGTATTTATGTTGCTATGCTGCCACTGACTACAGAGAATAAACAGTTGGCTAAGTAAACAAAAACAAATTAGAAACCAATATCAATAAAAGGATACGGAGGCAAGCCAACGGAACACGACAGAAAATAATAATAATAATAAAGTACTGTAAAAAAGTAAACCTGAAAATTCGTGTTATGCATATATAACACTATGATGAAATGAACTTTATTAAGTATGCTGAGGATCTAACTGTTTCAATGCCAGTTAACTCCCAGCTAGACTGTACTAAGATGAACAGCTTTCTATGAGGAGTCACCAAATGGTCTTTGGCTAATGGGCTTAAACTAAATCCTTCCAAATATCAAACTGTTAACTTCAGTTTCCGATGTAAAAGAAAGTTAAATGAAGTCGTTAATTCCTGTGACCATTATAGAACTGAAGATAATGATATAGAAATAAAGTCTGACGTTAAATATCTTGGACTAATTCTTTCTTCTGATCTATCTCGGTCTTCCCATGTCTTAGCGATTTCTAAAAAACATTCCGTTTGACTTTTTACATTAAGAAGTTAAGGCACTCAGGAATAACTCAACCCCTCCTCTTACAGTTCGTCCACTCTTGCATCTTACCTATTCTTCTGTATTGTTCACCCTTATTCTTTCCTGGGTTGCATAAAAAGGACTATGTCATACTTAGTAGGACTCTGAAGACCGTCAGTAGAGTGAGTGGTATCCCGTTGGGCCATAACGTTGACATCGTCATTCATAGGCTCTTGGTTTCATGCAACAAATTTGGTAACGGGATTTTGTCAGACTGTGAGCGTCCACCACAGCACCTGCAGCTTTTACATTGTGTCTCCTCAGGTTAAACAAGAAGTCATTTCAAAAGAATTTATGCTCGCACGTCTAAGTATAAAAATTCAAGATTCCATTTTTGGTATGTATTTTATGTGATGAAAATAGTGTCAGAGACGAACTAGCTAAACATCTTTGCACTAGTAAATAAACAATTTTCTCCATCCTTATTCTACCAGGCTTTACTGTTATTATTATTCTTATATTTATAACCCTCTCACCTTGTTTTGTTTATTTTCTCACAAGTGTAAACATCATTTAAGTTCTGTATTAATTGTTATTTCTGTTTTTCCCTTTACCATGCTATCTCAAGAGAACATCGGATTCAATACTCTATAACATGCTAAAATTTCCAAACTGCATCGACAATACTGTTTGAAACAAACCCATTGTTATTGTTATTATTCTCATTTTGTACTTTGCACATTTTTGACTTTATTCCTACTGTAAGTGTGGACAAATTTCTGTGCTTAATTTTATTTATATTTTGAGTAAATTGGATGTAATATTGTGACAAATGCTGAGAATTCCATGCTGTATTATATAAGTACTGTTTTTGGATTGAGGCAGATCATTATCATTATGATTATTATTGTAACGTGATAATGCTTTATTACTAAAATTTGACTTGATAAGTATATATATACATATACATATATATATATGATCGCAAGGTTATCTGACAGGTGCTTTCTAAAAATAATAGGAATTAGAAAAACAAAAACCCAGAAAAGTGTATGTAATACTGCGTCATTATATGCAAAAGAAGTTGACTACTACTTGATAGACATTGTTAATTTTGACTAAATTTATTCTCATAATTATTGTCTATGACAGTGTAAGAAGTAATCCGATGTGTACACGCTGAAGCGAATTTGACAAACATTCACACATGATATCTGTCTGATGACACCAGCTGGCAGAAGTAAACCAGGATGCAGGTTTCGTTCACTCCTCGACTCTCTTCACAGCAGAATGTACCTGCACAGCTGTAAGTGAAAGTGTTACCAGGGCTGAGAGGAAGTGCGTGTCTTGCACTCTACCTCACACGGGTAATTATCATCAACGAGAAATAACTTCAAGTCGGCTTGATTGTGGTGTAGTGGATCTGAGGTAGGCCATGGAGAGCGAGAAGACGAGAGGTTGTTGGATCGAAAAGAAGTCTCTAGAAGATTTCGACTTCATGGATAATTTATGTCTAATGTCACACAAAGTCAACGATCTACAGGCAAAAACTAACAAGCTGACAGAAGAAGAAATGGAGGGAGTATTTTTCAAGAGAACATAGAGAAGATAGAGGTGATGGAAATACCTAATCAACAACAACAACAAGTACGGGTCATTATCAACGGAAGAAATTTGAACAGGGTTCACTTCTCTCACTTAAGTGGGGAACTACAAGAGGCCCTGAAAAGGAGGTCAAAGGCAGGATCAAGAAGACAAGATCGACTTTCATTAATCTGAAATCACTGTGGAAATCTGCTGCACTAACTCAGTATAAAGAACACGATTCGGACTTTTAACACCAATGTTAAGTCAGCTCTTCTATGTAGGTCAGAGACTTGTTACACATTACGTACAGCATTCCGAGTAGGCTATAAAACTTTTACCAACAGCTGTTTCCGCTCCATACTCTAGATCAGATGATAGGTCATAAAGGATTAGCAGCGGCGAGGAATGCTCGCAGGTAACAAACCAATCAAGAAACGATTGTGCAACAAAAATGCCTAGGGAAATGGAGATGGATTGGACAAATAATGGGAAGACCGTTGAGTGACATCTCACGTCAGTTAGGCCGTCGACTGGAACTTGAATAGCTAAAGACGATTTGGGTGTAACTCCGAGGGTGACGTGGAGGAGCAGATAAGAGCTTATGAACAACTGTGGAATCAGCTAAGGAGGATTGCAGAGAACAGGAGAAAGCGGAGATGTGCTGTTGAAGCTCTAAGTTCCACTCGGGAACTACGGAAATAATAATAATAATATACAACGTCAAGGCGTCATTGTCAAAGTGTCAATACTAGAACTGCACGGGTCATTTCAATCCAGTAAAATAAATCAACGCGAAAATTTCAAAATACTTTCACAATAAATGCAAATAAGACACCTAGTGTATTTTGTGTAAATTAAGTTTTCTGAGAGTGAATGTTTAGGATTCAGGAGAAATAACGAAGCAGAGAAAATAATCGTAATAATAAATATGATGATGATGATGACAAACAACAACGAAAATTATCGGTGCTACTTACATTTGACTCTGAAATTATATCAAATTTAATGTCTTCAAACAATTTATCCGTTTCATCGTTGTCATCAGTAGTCTGAGGTTTCTCTTTTTCTTGTTGCTGCTGCTGCTGTTGTTGTTGTTGTTGTAACTGAATATTATTATGTGAGCCTTTTCCAATTTGTGATGATTTTGTGAAGTAATTTTTATTTGTTGTGAACAGCTTTTTTGGTGATTCCAGCGTCTTAACCTTTTGACCTTGATTCTGTGGTTGTAATTGTGCTTTGTGTTGTTGCTGTTGTATACTGCTCAAATCTTTTACTGATAATGATTCTGTCTCCAATGGAATTGTTTTAATCACCTCTGGATGGTTTTTATTATTATAAGCAGGATTCTTAAAAAGAAAAGAGAATATTAAAAAAAAAGAAAATGAAATGCTGTAACCAATTAATCAAGTCTCTACAAACCAATGCCTGAATATCAGTGAGACGCTCACTAGCAACTGACCCTATTCAGGTAGGTAGTTGCCTGGGGTTATGGTGGGAAGTCGTGACCAGTAGGTGGGGCGTGAGGACAAATACTCACTGGAGACATTGGCTAGTGGTCGTGCTATGTGGTGACTTGGCGGAAGTTGGAATTCATGGGCCGTTGGATTGAGTCTTATTGCCTTATTGGTTTACGAGCCCACCTCGAACCCTGGCGGGTGCGTGCTACTGAAGAGTTTCAAAGTGGGAGGAAACAGCTGACCAGTACTCCACTGCAGCTTTTCAAATGGTTCTGTAATCAATGTCAGCTCATGATGAAATCCTGTAACCAAAGAAAATTAAGTTATTATGCATGTAACAGCACGCTTGTAGTTCTTTAACTTATATTTGATTACGAATTTTCCGGCAGGATTTCACCATGAGCTGACATTGGTTGCAGAACCATTGGAAAACCAGCAGTGGAGTACTGGCCAGCTGTCTCGTCCTGGTTCGGGATTCTTCATCTGTACGCACTCACGACAGGGGTTCGAAACCAGGACCTTCCGGTTCTGCCACTTATCAACCTAGATAGACAGCCTAGTAGTTAAAATGTTTATGTTGATAATTAAACTCAGCACTAATTTCAGTGAAACTAATCAACAAACGATAGTCTGAAAAAATGCAAGTATAGTCATTATCACGGTAAAACTAAGGATTACAGAGAGAAGAAAAAAAAGTCGACCATAACAATAAGACAGCAAAAAAATAACATGTATACCTTATTAAACATTATTTGTACAAGTTCGTTTATTGACAGGTGAAATAATAAGTGTGCAGTGAGTAATTCTAATCTATGACATACTCTGATCAAGTGTTGTAACTCAGCTATCCAGTACGAACTTTTCAGGGGGCAGATAATAAGGCAAACATACACTGTGATGAAAACTCGTGTTATACTACACACAGTTGCGTTCAACTGCAATGGAGTAATGAAGCGCGGTTTAAAAGACAAAGGCAAAATGTCTGATAGTAAGTAAATGAGTGAGTTATGATCAAAGTGATCTATGTACAACCAAGGATCCACTTCAAAGAAACAAAAGTATTCACGCGCCAATCATCTATTTTTCTTCAAGAAATTGTCGTCTACTGCTAAAGTGGTTACATTTCCCTTGATTCATACAAATACTTTTCTATCCCCATGAAATTATACGACAGACATATAATTTTCAAGAAGTGGTTTACAGGGATTCGACTGATTTCAGTTGTGATCACGAATTGACTTTAGTTAGAGAATCACTGAAATCCAGAGAGTACCGGGACAGGTGTTTTCTTGCTTGATCTTGGCACTCTGCAGCAGTACGCACCAGTGATTCCACCAGAGATCGGTGTTTCTTTTAGTTGAAGTTAATTTGTGATCATTGAAAACTGGAGAGCGCTAGACAACAGTTTCTCCTCCCTGCATCCAATCTTTTTGACATTAATTGGCAGTTCTTGTGGCACCAATTTCAAATTAGTTCAATGCTTTAGTGAATAATAGCTATCTAGTGCTGAAAGCATCTCAGCTAGGACGAAACAACTGTTCAGTGTAACTCTGGATTATTAATGGTTCTCTAACTGATATTGATTTATGAATGACCACAAAACATCACCTGATAATATATATGTATACATAATACACTTTTAAATATTTGATTTTTAAATTACCCTGTAACTCAGCGTAATCTAGGCAGTCAACTTCTAATTACAAAAATATAACAATTTAATTTTCAATTTTATTCCTCTCCATTCCCGGTCGAACATAGGGCTTCAAGTTTCGAACTTTCGAGGTTTCAGTACAAATGGTGTTATTCTTTTCCTTTTTACGGGGTTGGGTTGCTAGCCTCAAATTCAACTTCCCCTACCTTCTTCCCTGGTCTTACTACCGCCCGCCAGACGTCGGCAGGGATTTGAAACCCGCACTAAATGAGGCGTGGTTGGCAAGCACAATAACACTGAACCCCTGAAGCAATAGGTGTATCTGATATCTTGGAGGAACTCATATCCTTTCTGGCATTCGAACCCGGGTCACCCAGTGCCGTAGTTAGACTCGTTACCAATCAGCTATTCGGCCTCAGGTTATTTGTTTATCACTTGCTTAATTGTCTGACAATTCGGTGGATGGTAGTGACTAGCAGTGGAATCTACAGTGCAAATTCAGTCAGTATATTTGGGACTTGTCAGACGAATGTACCTGCAACCTCCATTGAGGCTTGAACCGAGTACACTTCGTTCCAAACAACAAAACGTTATCCTACTAGACCACTTGAACCACTACTAGAATTTAAGGCTAAAATAATAATGCCCCCACCCGAAGACTGATCTGTACAGTCTAGAATACACGTCTATACACGATTATTGGAATGCGCGTGAGAATAAAGCGGCAAATCACATTAATAAAAGCTGTGAAACCACCGAATATGTTTGCGTAATAATAAAGGAAGAAAAGGCTTAAGAAAATACAACTGAAATATCCTCCAGTAAGAAAATGAAAACAGACTGGCAAAAGTTATTAACAGTAGGTCTTTGTCAAAGTCTGTACGCAACTAAGCATAAAAAATAGATGACGATGCCAGTAAAGACACAGAAAAAAAGACAGAATTCTACGATCAAAAATTGTAGAATGCTATAAAACAAAATATATATGCCAAAGTGAACGAAAAAAAAAGATGTAGAAGAGGTGAGGGTGGTAATACTTTTTTTTGAACTGACACTGGCTTAATGACGTATCAGAATGAATGCACGAGCTACGCCACTAAGTCAGAACATCAACAACCAGTCAGTCAGTAAGGCAGACAGGTAAGTGCAGACTACTAGACTGATCTTTACAAAATTCATATTTTTTTCTTCCTTATCTTGGGAAAAGGCAGAAAGGAGACAGAAGAAACACAAAAAAATGAGAGAGAGAATAATATTAAAATAAATAAACAAGAGGGGAATGTGAATAACAAAATTATTTACTATTGTTATTTTATTCCTTTACGTTCCGAGTGGAACATACGGCCTGAAGCTAGAGCTTTGAAGTTTCAGCAGCACTGGCGTTTCTTATGGGGTGGGTTCGCTAGCCTCATGCCCAACCTTCCCTATTCACCGGCCTTACTATCGGCTTATTGAGGTTTAGGAGTTCACCGGCCGAAGATTAAACCCCAGATCACGTTCGTGGTTGGCGAGCGTCCTGCCGCCGAACCACCGATGCACACGTGAATAGCAAAATGAAATCAGAGATTACAAGTTGTTAATATTACCTGATGGCAAGGACTGAAGATGAAGTGTGACATTCCGGGCTACACAGTAAGTAGCATTCTGACTAATACCACCAACCTGACTACTACTAACTAGCCCATCGATCCAGCATCTAAGCTACTAGAACTAGATGAGGATCTGTAGTAATGCATAACTTATTCATGTAAAACAGATGGATATTCGTATTCAAGGCAATCCCACCATATGATTATATACATGTAAGGTCTCCATTGGTCTCTCATTGGTATACAAGACACTCAGTTGGAATACTACTACCACAACTGTTAATTTAATGGTATTAACAATAATATTAATTCAAAGGCAAAATACACTGAAAACATTTCAACGCTGTAATTTCGTGGTGTAGTGTACATGTGTGTCTAAGGTGTGCTGAACAATGATTGGTTATTTCTTATTCACTTTGTTTACAGGACTACGCCCAGTTAGCTGGCTGGCTCTAAGCTCTATATGAAGTAGTAGTAGTAGTAGTAGGTGTAGAAAATCAAGAAGTGTATGTTGTATATATATGAGTTAGATTACTCATTCACTCAGATTGTATATTAATTAATCATCAATTTAAACAGACAAAGACTTGAGATAAAAAAAAGCTAGGGGGTGAATAATGGCCTATACTTTTTCTGAGTCAGTCAGTCAGTTAATCTGAAGCTCTATTTGGAAAAACAAAACTGAAAAGATTAGCAAACATTTACTGCTATATAAATGTATATCAAGGTACAACAACACACCAGAACATGATTTTGTCTTACTTAAAAAAAGATAGAAATTTAATTTACAGTAGTAGTCTATGATATACACAAATCAGATCAAGAGACGAATATGTGATTTACACAGCACAGCACACACGCACATGATAATCAAAGTGGAACCACCAGTAGAGCGCTGATTTTATGCACATTTTTTGCGTCTGTGAATTGTAAAGAAGAATGATGAAGATAATTGTATTATTATTATTATTGCTGTTGTTCGTGAAAAGGAGTTACGTGAACACTTTTCAACTGCAGTGATCGACTACCTGTCATACACTTAACACGGAGTCATTTTGTCTCTCGCTTATCAAGCTGTTATGACAGTGATAACAAAACAAATAAAAGACCCATTTGTGTTTTGGAAGAGAACAGAAACTTAACAGTAGGATAGAAATTGACAAATGACATTTGTGAGTGGTATTTTAGATTTCCCGAGGACCTGGAGATCGCATTCATTTTAAAAAATTTTATTTTTGATTACAGCTTGATTCCACACAGTATTTTGGTACAATTATGGAATTTTCAGCATGTGATATCGATAGCCCAAAGCTAGCAGGCCGATCATTGATATCAGCTGTGTGTCGACTGAGGATCGAACTATGCATATAGCCGGCGAGCGTCCAACCGCTGTGCCACCGACGCATGGGTGGGATGGAACGAATGCTTGTTGACAGTTATGCAGTCAGCCGGAAGTAATGGTAGAGAATCGCGAGTAGTGTAGAGATGCCACTGAAGACCTATATTTCCATTCGGAAATAATAATAGTAGTGACTACACCCTTCCCCACACATATCAGAGCAATGCAATCAAAGGGTTTCATGGATAAGAGTTGCCTACTTTTTAGGAGTAGTATCCATAACTATTTGTCCAAACACCACCACCAC